AACCTACCAATAGTCAGGCCTGCCCCGTGTGGGACTGCACAGAAGATCAATGATGAACCATGGGTTCTCCGTTATGCCTGAATGCCAAGTACCCAATTGAGGTCAAAACCGAGGCATGTGTGGAAAGGGGGCTTCAGCCTCTCCCCCGCGTACACCATTTCCCTGATATAAAACCAACCATCAGCCCTGAAGGGCTTTACGATCTGCCAATCAACATCTCCTGGGGATCCCCAGCCCCAGAGATGTCCGTCTTGCCTCGACAGGTTTTTCAGCCCTGGCCCGTACCTGGTGGAATGAGCTCCCACGGGGGATCAGGGCCCTGTGGGACCTTATGCAGTTCCGCAGGGCCTGCAAGACGGAGCTCTTCCGCCAGGCCTTTAATTAGGGCAGTAGGCATCCCCTCTCTCTTGGCCTCCCCTCAGCAGGGGAGTTTTGTATCATTGTCGATGGACCCCAATTCATAACAGACTGCACCTGTGATACTTAACTGGATCTGTATGATAGGATTTTTATTGTATCTTATCGGAGTTTTAACTGTTTTAATTTGTACATGTATATTTTGATTATGATGGAAGCCGCCCCGAGCCCGCTATGTGGGGAGGGCAGGATACAAAACTAATAAATAAAATAAAATATTTGGCCCAGTGGTTGACTCCACATGTGTACGCATCGGTGGGCATTACCCATATTGCAAAATACTTAGAATTAAATTGTTGCCCTTCAACATGACAGACATCAAGTTAATTTTTTGATCTTGACAAGAACACTTTTTTAAAAAACAACAACGATGGTACACAAGTCTTAAAACCGATTTTACAAAATGAATACTGTTTAGCATTTTTTTTTGCTAAATCATACTTGCTCCTGCAAGAAAAAGTAAGCAAGAAAACTGAAGAGCGGAAAAGACTTAACAAACAAACAAAAAATGTCACTTAAAATGAAATTTGAGGTGTTAGTGAAGGTTTCCTGTCTGTACAGTTTCTGAGGGACATTTCACCTAATTTGACAGCCTGAAGTGAAACCGAAGATAAATTCGGAGGTTCGTACCCAGGCGAAACAGACACAAAACTCTGAATGAAGAAAAAGTTTCAGTCAGGCAAGCAACGTATCTGAGAGGACGTCCAAGTGCCTTCAGCTTAGGCTTAATAGTCCCTCAAACAAATATTAAGTAGAAGAACACAGTCATTGTGTGGTGATCTCTGTCTTTGTCTTTCTCTCCTTTTTTAGTTAAAAGGGTTATCTCTCTGGTCCACTTGTTTTACTATGAGGAAAGCTGAGGTGCTTCGCTTTGCTGAACGATTCAGTCTTATTTTAGACTGGATCCGGGATATCGAACGATACTTGTCGTTGTTGACAGCGGTTCCTTGGGTGTGGCAGTGGGGAAAGGCCGAGGCTGGCCGCCGAGGAAGGGTGAATCGAGTCCAGGGAAGGAAGGCAAGATGAGAAGTCTGGTTCTGGCAAGTCCCCCCCACTCCTTGCCCGACCAATGATTAGCAATTCTGATGTGTTACTGAGCAGACAGCTCGAGCTCGGGATGAGTAATCTCCCAGAGTCCCTCTTCAGCAGGCCATGAAAGCCAGCTCCCCTTTGAAAATTCTCCCCCCATCATGCAAGCTGACACAGGCATGCTTTTCAAAAACCCACAGCCAATCTGTTGATCATTACTTATTTACAAAGGCCTTCGGGCAGAAAGTCCTGTAAAAACCATCCTTGATACCGTATACACTGGCTTTTTCGGCTTGTGGAAGAGAGGAGGGGGGAAAGTCCCCCTAAGGCTACCTCAAACCATCACTTTCTATTGCGCGTAAAATGTACCGCGGAACACTAAAGTATTTAATATATATGGTATAATATATCTACAGGAAAGGCATTTGTGTAGAGGCGTGTTAGCCCCGTATTTGGTAATTTGATGTTTTGCTGAAGGCGATGACTTGAAAAAAGCCTGCACCTAGTGCTCAGGACCTGTCATCTCAGTACCCAAGAGCCAGCAGAATAAAGAAGTACCCTAAAGCGGCAAAACTTTGACACAGCTTTGAAGCATATGAAAACAGTATAACTCCCTAGAATTATTATGACTCCCGATCAAAGAAATGAGGCATACTTTACATAGCAAACAGGGACCGGGCACTTCCCTCCAAATGGGGCTGCACTCTCTTCCCTCCGACTCCCCCCCCCTTCCTTTTCTTTCACTTTTATACTACATTGATCAGATGATGAAGGAAGAAGTATGTGTGTGAGTGTGTGTGTGTGTGAGAGAGAGGGGAGGGGAAGGATACCATTTCCCTACCATTTCAGCTGGATAAATCTAACGTTCTTGGCCAGGGGAGATGAACTTGAGGAGAAGTAAACTGACAACGAGGTCTTAAAGACAACGGGCATCATAAGAATTTGCAAGTGGGTGGTGCGTCCTTTTTACTCTTCCCCATTTTACCTGGGAGGTAAAGGTAAAGGTAAAGGTTTCCAATGCTCGAAAGCCAGTCGAGTCCGACTCTAGGGTTGCGGCGCTCATCTCCGTTTCAAAGCCAAAGAGCCAGCGCTGTCCGAAGACGTTTCCGTGGTCATGTGGCCGGCATGACTAAACACCAAGGCGCACGGAACGCTGTTACCTTCCCACTGACATGGTACCTATTTATCTACTTGCAATCTCTTGCTTTCGAACTGCTAGGTTGGCAGGAGCTGGAACTAGAGACGGGAGTTCACTCCATCATGCGGCACCCAGGTCTCGAACTGCTGAACTACCAACCTTCCACAGCCTGCAGTTCAGCATCTTAACCACTTGAGCCGCCATAAAAAACAGAGGCACAGATGAGCTACCAGGAAGTCGGGGAGTGTTTTTTTTCTTGAACAAACAGCTTCACAGCACAGAGGGTGCAGCTGGGCCCATTTTCACTTTGTGAATCAATTTTGGCCTTTTGGTCTAGCAATCCTAAATACCAAACCAGATGGCATGGAGAAGCAAGGGTGCGCTTCCATTTCACCTAAGTTTGCAAGGGCAATAAAGAAGAAGAAGAAGAGAAGAAGAGATTGGATTTATACCCCGCCCTTCACTACCCAAAGGTGTCTCAGAGTGGCTTACAAACTCCTTTCCCTTCCCCTCAACACAACAGACACCCTTGACAGAAAAGCTCTTATCAGAGCTAGGGCTTGCCCAAGGTCATCCAGCCAGGTGCAAGTGGAGGAGTGGGGAATCAAACCCGGTTCTAGCAGATTAGAGTCCGCGCACTTAACCACTACACCAAACTGGATCACTTCCTAGCCATAACCCAGAAGTATGATTCTAGTAAATGTACAATCAGAAACTGATAGGTGTATTCTCACCGAGTAAAACTCTGATTTCAGAACCATAGTTTTTTAATTCCAAAAATCTGCCATAGAATATTGCCAAAAGTAAGATAAATAGTGAATTTGGGGCCTCCTCCATAGGGAAAGCAGTTGAGTGATGATGAAGGAAGAAGAAATTTCAAAAAGATTAGCTACGTTTCTTAGGTGTGGTGTGTGTATGTGGATTTCTAAACTGTGATGACCAGATTTTGCCAAAAGTGGCATTCAAAGTGGACTTGGAGGTTAGCTATCTGAGGACTTAAGAGTGTTACAGGCACATCTATAGCCTTATATAACTTTGGCTGCGGTCACACGGAACAGAAGCCACACAAGTGAGACGGAAAACAGGCGGAGTTTCCGGGCGCGATCTCACCAGCACATCTGGGAAGCGTAGCACTCCCGTGGCTCAACCGAGGCTTCCAGCCGAAACTGCGTGGCAAAAAACTAGTACCTCAGAGGTACTAGTTTCCGGAAACTGCGGGGCAAGGGCGGGCGTCTGATCGCGTTTCCGGTGGCATCCGGCGCCCGCCCATGTCCCCTTGCAAATAAGGTGGGTTTTTTTGTCCAAGTCTCTGTGGATGCGCACACGCACCCAACGGAGCATGCGCATTTGTCGTGTACAGACAAAAAAACCCAGTTTGCCACGGCGCGCGCTTCTTCATTGCGCGCCTGCTTATCCTGTGATCGGCACCTCTCCCTTGCCATGGAACCTCCACGGTACCTCCACAGGACCTCCACGGGAGGTCTGATCGCGTAACCGCGCAGTAGTTTGCCCCAGGGCAAACAGCCACGCTTCTCCCCTGCAGTTTCCTGCCCGTGTGACCGGGACCTTTAATATACATCTATAAAAGGGTCATCTTCAGTATCAGCCCTAGAAATCTTGCTCTGGATCCATCTTACAAAAATCTGTCATATGGGAGGGAATCTGATTGGACCCCCTTACATGTAACAAAACATGGGGGGGGGCGCGGCGGGGGGAAGAATCACTAACAAGTGAATCTGCTTGCCTTCCCAGGATCTATACCCTTTTTTAAAAAAAATAAATAAATCTGCTTTTCATAATTAATATCACTTTCATCTCCAGTAAAACTACATTAGTTCTGAACTTTGCTTTAGCAAGTACACAGATTATCAGGTCTTTTTTTAAAAAGAAATAATCAGTCAAAATCAATGAGAGGAAATTTGATCTCAATCGACAGGATAAAAGGAAGGTAATATTCAGGTTCATTTTTGATTGTGATGATACATCTCACATATGGCCTTAAGTACAGAAAACAGTCCTCGAAGGGATTCCGACAAAAAGAGAACCGCCTCAGGCAAACTAACCACATGAGTTCTTCTGATTGGTCGGCGCTATCATTAGTGCCACTGCTGTTTAAGAACTACACACGGACAGGCCCCGGTGACAGGACTGACTTTAAAGCCTATGTATTTTTCAAACGGCTTTTCAAACTGTTTTTCATGACAGATTTTTTTCCAGCTCTATCATTAACCGCTGACAAGCTGACAGAATAAATACTTCAGCCTTTCAGAAAGCATCTAACAATCTTCTTCGTTCCCCACCACCTTGCCATGACCCCCCTTCCCCATTTTTTTTTTAAACTCAGGGAGGAGGGTTGGTTGGGAGAGGAAGGAGATAGAGGGAAGGGGATAAAGATATGGGTTGCGTGGAGCCTCACCTAGACATCTTGGGCGAGGAGTTGGGTGAATTCCTCATGCCTCCATTTCGTTGCTTCTTTTTCGGTGACAGCGTCGAGGGCTGCTCGTCTTCAACTGGAAATACAGGCAACTCGTGAGGTTACGAACCCCCTCAAATCAACACAATTTAAAAAGGAAAGAATACAGGAAATATCCAAGAACACACACGCAGATTCCATTCATACACTGTTACTTGGTTGCTATCTTGTTTTAAGTTGAAAGACCAAATCGGTGTTAGTCAAAGAGATCAATTCGAAAGGGGGGGGGGAGGAGGGGGGAGCAGAGCATTGGCTGAAGAAGTTTTGAATATGGTCTCGTATTTTAGTGAAGCCTTATCATCAGTTAAGCTGTGTTTTTGGAGGACAGGAATCAGCATTCTGCAGTGTACGCCGAAATATTAAATACTACGCAGAATCCAAACATAGACTGCTGGCCTGCACTTGGCTAATGAACATGATACCCATCAGTTCTTGCTCCTTAAATGCCAGACCACAGAGTCTTCACAGAGAGATGTAAAAGCACTCAGCGTCTTGATATTCAATGCTGCAATTAAATCAAAATGATGCCGTAGTATACAGATCTCCAGTACAACTCAGAATTCATTGATTCACCCTTTATCACAAAGGGGGACGTTATCTCAGGAGCAAGCTGAATGATACCAAATGACAGCAGAACGTCCTGCATAACGAAGGAGGGAAACTGTCGAAGATATTCTTTTAATGAGGATAAAGTACACATCAAGTGGAAGATCATTTTCTTAATAGTAAACAAAAGGCTGCTAAAGAGAGCGCATCCCATGGACAGACTTTCAGGAACAACAAGTTTTACCGCAAACCACAATTACGGCAAGGTTTCTAACAAACTACAAGGTACTATTTAATCACCATTACTGATGTATATTATTACCAGATCAGCATTCTGACTGTTATAAAATGCAGCTCTGTGCCAATATTTGGCTCGGTAAACTTATATGCAGGCCACCAACAGAACAAAAAAACAGGCTATCATCCTATAACTAACAACCCTCCCCAAAATCTGACTAAGAGAGTTAACGTATCTAAAAACTAGGTGGTAGTTAACTTAAGGGTAAAGCGAATGAAAAAATATTAACGGAGTAGCGCTTACATTTATGTACAAAAAGAATACTGGGGAAAATTCTATTTGCTGTGGGGAAAGAAATCCTCCTGGGTCAAATTCTTTTGTAGTTTTATTCATTAAACTGTAAGGTCTTTAATGCAATTGTATTTTATAAATGCTGTGAGCCCTTTGGAGACAGAAATCTTTATATAGACAAAGAACACCATGAAAGACAAGCCTATGCATTTACTAATTACTCCAGATCCCACTGAAAATGAAGTAAACAATATTCTCTGGCCTCAGTCCTCAGCAGAAGCTAATTTAAGTCCTAGGGCGATTTCGCACTAGAGCTGCCTCGCGGTTGCGCCGCCGTTTGCCCCGACACTATTTGTCAATTTCACACCTGAGGGCTGCGGGGCTGCATTTGACCTGCGGCTTCGCCCGATTTCCTCCGCAGTTTCGTGATCCTCAAAAACCAGGATCTCGAAACTGCGGAGGAAATCGGGCGAAGCCACGAGTCAAAATGCAGCCCCGCAGCTTCGGGTGTGAAATTGACATATTTGTGTTGGGGCAAACGGCGGCTCAAGTGGTTAAGACGCTGAACTGCAGGCTGTGGAAGGTCTGTAGTTCAGCAGTTCGAGACCCGGGTGCCGCATGACGGAGTGAGCTCCCGTCTCTAGTTCCAGTTCCTGCCAACCTAGCAGTTCGAAAGCAAGAAATTGCAAGTAGATAAATAGATACCACTTCGGTGGGAAGGTAACAGCGTTCCGTGCACCTTGGTGTTTAGTCATGCCGGCCACATGACCACGGAAACGTCTTCGGACAGCGCTGGCTCTTCGGCTTTGAAACGGAGATGAGAACCGCAACCCTAGAGTCGGACTCGACTGGCTTTCGAGCAAGGGAACCTTTACCTTTTTAAACGGCGGCGCAACCGCGAGGCAGCTCTAGTGCGAAATCGCCCCTACTGATTTTGACCAGGGATGTGTGTAATCACAGGATAACAAATCAAAAACCTGGGACAACTCTGCCCTCTTTTTATTGTAAGTAATCTGAATCAGAACAACGCTTGGAAACAACCAGGAAAAATGTTAATCCTTGTTACTGCTGCAAGAACTTCTGGAACACACAAGCACTGAGAATTCCATGCTTCCCAGGAGCAAATGGGCCCAATGTGGATCAGGACCATGGGGCATGCAGTAAAGGGGCTTCAGGTCCCCCACTCCAGTGCCATTTTCAGAACCTGAAACGGTAAGGGGAACAGATAGCTGCCCCACAGAGCAGGTTCAGGCCAAGGAAAAGGCATGAGGGGAAGCTGAACCCCTCTCTCTATGCGCACCCCACTCCCAATCCAAACAGGGCCCATGTGTTTCTGGGAAGCAAAGAGCACCTAGCACACTCAGCATACAAAGTCCGCATGGAAGCCAGAAGGGTTATGCTAGTGTGTGAGATGGCCCAAAGACTTAAAGAAGATCAGAAAGAGTGAAGGGTGGGAAATCAAGATAAGTGTAACTGTAAGGGTGCTTGCCGATCATCAGAATTACACACAGATCCTGCCAGAAAAAGGTTAGAAGTGTCTTTCCAAAGTGGCATTTCCACCAATCACAATCAATAGCTTAGGAGGAGATCTTTATTTTGATTCCGTAAAGACAAGTGGCTCCTGTTTGCTTTCTATTCTTTTCACTCTTGGGGCTGTGCCTGCTGTGGCAAACTTTTGCTTGCATATTCTGGCAGACAGGCAGACAGCGCTGCAGATGTGTATGGGGTAGAAAATGCCACAGTAGCTCCCTTTGGCAACAAGCGCATCTACATCTAGGGAGCGGCGGCGCAGGCAATACGACGCCTGTGGTTAACATCTGTAGCGAACAGCCATAAGGCTGTTCGAATCCCCACCGCGGCTGGGTTGAGCCCCCGTCCCAGCTCCCGCCAACCCAGCAGCTCTAATAACAACAGAGGAATGGGTACCTGCCCTAGGTGGCAGGGGGCACCCTCCTCCTGGCTCTGCGCTGGGAAGGTGATCGGCAGCGGCGAGGAAAAAGGAGAGACGGTGGCGGCGGCGGCGAGAAAGAAATGGTGGCGGAGAGCGACCCAGGAAGGCAGCGGCCGGACCGAGCGGAGGTGGAGTTGGAGCCGGAGCAACGCGGTGACGCGGGACGCAACACGGCAGGAGCCGTTGGGACATTGGCCGCAAAGCTGCGCCCGAGACGTGGCGCTAAATCACATGTAAATAAAATAAATAAATACTGCGAGACAGACTTGACAGCAGAAACATATAGGCATACAGGCAGTGCTGCAGACTGGGGAGAAGGTGGAATGAGACACTTCTCCCCCTTGACTGTTCTATGGACTGAGACACTCTGTGGGGGATCCAATGAGCAGACGGAGAGAGACATTCTTTTTTGGGCATTTTAATTTTCTCAGCTTTTCCTCGTCGTTCTGGTAGACAACGGATACTTGGGATTATTTTTCTTTAAAGTGCACATCTATTATTGTGAAATACAGGGATATCAGGAAGAACACAATTGTGCACTGTAAAAGAGAAACAACCAACTGAAAAAGACCATCACAGAAGATCCTGCTTCCACTAGCACATCAGGCCTCTGCTCTGGTTGCCCAACAGAAGAGCCTGGGTCCTGTAGCCCATTTTTTCCGCCGGAGATCCAGGAACACCAATCTTTGACGTGGTCCTTCTTAAACTGGACAATGACTGACCCGGTATAGACTTCGAATTCCATTTTCTCACCCTACTGAATGGGGGTTTGGGATGCATTTAGTCTGACTCCTTAGCAGAGACCTGTCTACCATGGGGTACCATTCCAGCAGCTACACTGCTGGTAGCATAGCCCTCTGCTTCACTGGAGCACACAAGCCCCCCCCCCGGCATAGAATCCCATGGGGGTTGAAGTGTACAACGCAGACTTATTTGAGGTTACAGAAACCAAGGGAGATTACAAAAAGATTGAAACCAAATCTCACTTTGGCCACTGGAAGGGAAAGCACTTGCATGGGCAATATTTGAAAGACACAGAGAATAAACACCTGGAAGTGGCTCCAAAAAGGGGCACTTGAAGAAAGAAAGATTCATTCTAGCTGCACAAGAGCAGGCACTGGAAACGAATAATATGAAAGCCAAGATTCGGGAAAAAACTGTGATGACAGCAAATGTTGACTCTGCTAGGCAAAGGATGAAACAGTCGACCACATGGTCAGTCCCTACAGTAAAACTGACTATAAGGAATGTCACAATAGAATTGCAGCTATGTTGCACTGGAATCTTTGCAAGAAGTATGGCTTACCATCAGCCGGAAATTCACAGGAACACAAACCAGACAAGATCATGGAGAATGAGGAAACAAGTATTTTTTGGGACTTCCAATTGCAAACACCTGGAGCATAACACCCCTGACACCACAATTGTAGAAAGAAAAAAAAGAAATAGGGTTTGGATCATTGACACTTCAATCCCAGGAGACAGCAGAATAGAAAAGAAAGAACAGGAGGAGATCATGAAATACCAAGACCTATGAATAGAGTCAGAGCGCCTCTAAGAGAAGAAGGTGACCATCGTACCAGTTGCCACTGGAGTCCTTGCAGCAGTGCTTAGAAGTCTCAAGAAACACCTGGATATTCTGGGCATTGAGCAAATAACACCAGCTCAGTTCCAGAAGACAGTGTTGCTCGGAACAGCAAGAATCCTGCAAAGATACCTCTGCAATTCCCAAGAACTTGGCTAGATCTCAAACTGCAGAACACCCTCTACCAATCAAATACCCGACAGTGACAATTCTTCTTAACCATCATCATCATCATGTAACATCCACTTGTTGTGCTAAAGGATGCTGAAATATTGTGAATACAAGCTCCACAGCACATACTACAAAGCAGTCTAAGCCTTTAGTCGTGTATTTACTGACTCCATTAATCAAATGCTTCTCCACCATTGATTGAAATGGTGCTAACATATATAAATTACAAACTAAAATTGGGGGAGGGATCTACTA